GCGGAGCAAAAAAAAAAAGAGGCAAAGAGAGTTGGTAGAGGGGGAACAAAAAAAAAAAATAAAAAAAAAAAAAAAACAGAAACCAAACTAATCATTGTGGGGAAAGCCAGAACTCTGTTGGACTTGGGTTAATTTATACAGTGGCTTTTGAACAGATGGCTGGAGGGCCTCTTCATCAGTCCCTGGTGGACCCCCGAACCTCTTTCGGGTCATTTCAGATTTGTAGAGACTGCCTAATAAAAGTGTGACCCACAGGCCTTTTCACTTTGTGTCTGTCTTGTGACAGCTTGGGGCTGAGGTGGGTAGGGCTCTATAGTGTGGATGGTCAATGTCCCTCAGTGACAGCGTATCAAAGGCCTGTCCCCAGGATGAAGTGATTAGGAGGTGGTGGATGTCTTTGGGTCACTGGGGTGTGCTTTGAAAGGGGATTGTGGGAGTCTGGCCTCTCCTGTTTCCTGGCTGAGGAGGTGAGCAACTTGATCTGACAAACACTCCTGCCACTGTTTCGTTGACGGAGGCGAAAGCAGTGGAACCATGATCATGGCCCACACCTCAGAGCCATGAGCCAAAATAAACCTTTTTCTAGGTTGATTGCCTAGGTATTTCTTTTTTAAAAGTTTTTAATTATTTATTTATTATGTATATGAGTGTTATGCCTGCACGTATATAAGTGCAACCAAGTCATGAAATTCCCACAGAAGCCAGAAGAGAGAATTGGATCTCCTGTAACTGGAGTTACAGACCTTAACTGCCATGTGGTTACTGGGAATCGAACCCAGGTCTTCTGCAAGAGCAGCCGGTGCTCTTAACCACTGAGTCATCTCTCCAGCCCCTTAACACTGTTTTTGCTGAGCATGGTAGCCCATGCCTCGAGGAGCACAGGCAGGAGGATCTCTGAGAGTTTGATGCCAGCCTGGTCTACATGACAAGCTCCAGGTCAGGCAGGGCTACATAGTGAGACCCTGTCTCAAAACAAACAAAACACTTTAAAATGTTTGTATGTATGTGTGAGTGGGTCTGCATGTGTCATAGCCTGTGTGTGGAGGTCAAAGGACTTTCAAGAGTCTGGTTTTCTTCTTCTGCTATGTGATCCCAGGGGCCAAATTCAGGTTGTCAGACTGGATGGGAAGTACGTTTACCTGCTGAGTTATCTCACCAGCCCCTCAGATATTTCATTACGGTGACACAAAGTTAATACAGGGATAAGCAGAGGTGTAGGGGATGGGTCCACCTCACTCTGACCAAGACATAATTATGTCCTTTCTTTCATTCAGGATTTCTGTTGACAGTGAGACAATCATTAATCCCCACTGTTAAATGAAATGCAGCTTTTTGTTCAGGTCTAACTAACCTCTTCAATGTGATTACTGTTATTATGTGGAGACCACACATTAAAATGACAGGTTCCCCTCCCACTTCCTGGTTCTGATTTATGCTGTCCCTTCCCTTGCATTGAGCACATCTCTGCCTTTTGATCCTGTGCTGGAGTCTTGGGCTAGCTCTGTTGGCTGTTTGTGATCTAAATCCACCCTCTACCTCCCCTGTAAGAGTCTCAGCATGATCTACAATGTCTCACTGCTTTTGCAAGGGAAGGGCTGCTTATTTCTGGGAACAGAATGCTGAGTCAGGCAAAGAAACCCCACAACAGAATGGCCAGGCAGCTGGATTATGTAAGTAGTCACACACCAGGGGTGCCCAGCTCACCACCAGAGAGGTTAGCCCCTGGTGGGATCTGTACAGCACTCTATGGACCACATAGAAAGCTAAGTCTGTTTTGACTCATAATCTAAGAGGTCTGTCCATGGTTGCTGCTCTGACCCTGGGCAGCCACACACACCATGCAGGGGAGGCCTGCTCACTTCTCAATGGCAGTGAAGGAAAAAATGGGGCAGGGAGGGAGTTTGAGGAAGGGGTCAGAGCAGTGACCATGGACAGACCTCTGACATAATGAGTCAAAACAGATTTAGCTTTCTATGTGGTCCATAGATAGATCTACCTTTTACCTCCTAAAGTGATCTTATCGTGAATCCAAAGGATTAATACATTGATTAGGTCAGACCCCTCAGAATCCAATCATTTGCCCAAAGCCCTTCCGGATGGCAGCTTCCACCACCACCACCCAATGTATGAGGCTGTGGGGGACATTTTACCTTCAAATCATAACTGTCACTAATGTGAAAATAAATTCACTGAAGTCGGGCGTGGTGGTGCACGCCTTTAATCCCAGCACTTGGGAGGCAGAGGTAGGCAGATCTCTGTGAATTCAAGGCCAGCCTGGTCTCCATAGTGAATCCAGGACAGCTGGGGCTACAGGGAGACCCTGTCTCAAAAAAAAAAAAAAGATTTTAAAAAATGTTTTAAACATGTATTTATTGTGTGCAAAAAAAATGCAAGAAAGAAAAAATTTGGTAAACTTTCCCAGGACTGAAAGGTTATGAATTTCTAGAAGGAAGGGCTACAAAGTGTGTGTGGAGGTGGGGGGGTAGGCAGAATGTATACAAAGGGCATCACGAAATCTAATCGTAAGGGGGCTGGAGAGATGGTTCAGCAGTTAAGAGCACTTGCTGTTCTTGCACAGGACTTGGGTTTGGTTCCCAACACACACACATGGCAGCTAAAAACCATCTGTAACTTCAGTTCCAAGGGATCTGACATCCTCTTCTGGCCTCCCTGGGTATTGTACAACATGAGTGGACTTACATACACGTAAGCAAAACACTCACACATATAAATTAAAATTTTTTTTAATTTTTTCTTTTGGTCTTTTTGAGACAAGGTCTCCCTGTAGCCCCACCTGTCCTGGATTCACTATGAAGACCAGTCTGGCCTCGAACTCACAGAGATCTGCCTGCCTCTGCCTCTCGAGTGCTAGGATTAAAGGCATGTGCCACCATGCCCCGCCTTAAATTTTTTTTAAAAAAGGAAATCTAAAAGAAAGGACATAGGTGAGACCTCCAAATCCTCCAGTAAAACAAAAACAAAAACAAGCACATAGAAGGATCAGGAAACAGCCCCACAGCAATGGCAGCTCAAGGCAGTGGAGCAATTCTCTGACATTCTGAAGAAAACTATTTTCAGGTCAGAGTCCTGCAGTGAAAGTCAGGCATAATGGTGAACAGCTTTAATCCTAGCACTTGGGAGGCAGAGGCAGGAGGATCTGAGATGGAGGCCAGCCTGGTCTACATAGCAAGTTCCAGGCCAGCTGGGCTACAGAGAGGAGAGAGGGGAGAGGGGAGAGTGGAGAGAGAGAGAGACAGAGAGAGAGAGAGAGAGAGAGAGAAAGAGGGGAGGCAGGATAGAGAGAGAGAGGTATTTTTTTTCTTTTTTTGGGGGGTTCCTTTTGAGACATGGTCTCCCTGCAGCCCCAAGCTGGCCTGGAACTCACTATGTAGACCAGGTTCACGTTGAACTCACAGAGATCTGCCTGCCTCTGCATCCTGAGTGCTGGGACTAAAGGGTGTGCACCACCATGCCCAGCTTACAGTGAATCTCTTAAGTGTGAAAGTAAGATAAAATTTCTGATATTTAACATTTTGGAACTTCACCTTCCACACTCACCTCAGGAAGTTATCAGGTGATGTATAATCAAAATGAAGTAGATTATGAGAAAAACGCAGGATACAGAATTGGGACGAGGCCTGGGGATGTAGCTACGTAGCTGCATGAGATCCTGGGTTCAGTTCCCAGCACTGCATTAACCAGACATTGGTGGCACCTACCTGTAATCCCAGACCTTGGGAAGTAGAGACAGGAAGTTCATCTTTGGCCACATAATGAGCTTGAGGCCAGCCAGGGCTACAGGTCTCAGAAAAAAAAAAAAAACCTCCTGAACCCCTAGCCTGATTATAAAAAAGGGTTCCAGGAAGCTGAGGAAGCAACAGCTCAGGTTAAAGGTGGTTTTAGAAGGAACGTATCAAGACAAAAAATGGTGAGGGCACCAGAAACTGTCTTGAGATTTCTGACCAACAGAAGAAGCTTGAGGTTCATTCATAATAAAGTCGACGCGAAGCAGGGGGAGGGACACAGCGGATAATCAACTCCAGAGAAAACGGTGGTGCCGAGACACGGTGTAGAGCACAGACGTTAGAACACACGCTGAACATGGATTTATCCCTTTATTAGGGCCATAGTGAAGGACTGGAGACAGGTGGGAAGCTGTGTGGTGAGGGACAGGGAGAGAAGCACATCAGCTTTGTCCACGGTGGGAAACGAGAAGATAACGCACCAGCTTGTCTGTATTTATTAAAAAGGGCAAACACCAACAGTCTAAAAGGGACAGGTTGGGTTTCTTGAGACAGGAATCAGATGGGCTCTTTGTAATGCACACCGAGGAACGTCACAGCTATAGTTCCTAAAAACTGTGAAAGTCAAAAGACACAGGAGAATTTAGGCCAATCAAAGTGGGAGCTGCGGGAGAGACATGCCTCTTGACTAGTGACCTTCACGGTGACCGTGCGACCCTCCCCTTTCCTTCCTCTTTTCACTTGTTATTAAGAATTTTGTAGGCTTTAAAGATTTTTTAAGTGATTTTATTTACTACTTTTTATTTGTTTTGAGACAAGGTCTCCCTGTAGCCTGAGCTGGCCTGGAACTTGCTACAAAGACCAGGCTGGCCTCCATCTCACAGAGATCTGCCTGCCTCTGCCTCTGGAACACTGGGATTAAAGGTGTATACCTCCACACCCAATGGGTTTTAAGGATTTTAATTATGTGTATATGTGCGTGGGGGTATGTATACATAAGTGCAGTTGCCTAAAGAGGCCAGAAGGGCGTCAGAGCCTCTGGAGTTACAGGCAGTTGTGAGTTGCCCAGTGTAGATGCTGGGAGCCAAACTTGAGACGCCCGCAAGGGCAGTACATGCTCCTAACTGCTGAGCCATCTCTCCAGAGCCCCCTTTTCTTTTTTTTTAAAAAAATAATTATTACATTTATTATTACATTATTACATTATCTGCACACTCATGCCATGTCACATGTGTGGAGGTCAAAGGGAAACTTTCAGGAGTCAGTTCCCTCCTTCCACCATGTGAGACATGGGGACTGAACTCAGGATGTCAGGCTTGGCAGCAAGTACCTTTATCCATTGAGCCACCTTCCCAGCTGCCTCCCCTTTTCTGTATTTAAATGCAACTTAAAAACCCCAGGAAGGCGGGAAAGATGGCTCAATGGGTTAAGAGTTCTTGCTGCTTTTACAGAGAACCCAAGTTAAATTCCCAGTATCCAGGTTGGGTGGCTTGCAACTGCTTCTAACTCCAGCTCCAGGGGATCTGAAACCCCTGGCCTCTAAAGGCATCCACAAATGCATGGCACCCACAACCACCCACACCAACCCAAATAAGAATCAATAGTAATAAATCTTAAAATCAATTCAGGAAAAGGTTAAACAGCTGCTGGCGTTTGGCAGTGGGATTGCATCACTCTGGACTGGTTGCCCTGGTGTATTTTCTAAGGAACACAGTGCTGGCTAAGACGCCCTACTCAAGACCAAGCACTGCACAGCTGAAACCTCAGCTAGAGGCCACTGCAGAAGAGAACAAGGTGAAGCACGGGGTGGCGGTGTGTTCACCAGAGACCCTTCTCTGGAAACTTCCAGAAAGGACAGCATGTGAAAAACAGAACACAGAGCTCTAGACACAAAAGGAAAGCACTGGTGCTGCTCTCAATGGACTCTGAGGCCAAAATAAGGCCGGGGGACATGAGCTATAATAACAATGTGCACACTGAGGCCATTCATCCAACAGATCTTTATTGAGCACCTATTCTGTGCCCAGCACTGCTAGGTGCCATGATTATCAAGAGGTGGTGTTGCCCTCCAGGAGCTTACAAATAACCTAGAGGCAGAAATAAGATACGAGCGAGTCAGGCAGCATGTGATATTTATACAGTGTACCCTGGGACATGTGGTGGCTGGCCAGAGAGGTCCCAAGTGTCTGGGAGCAGTCTCTCTCAGCAAGGGGGGAGGAGCTAACACTTGCACAGACTGTGGACCGGTGGAGCATTTTCACTTTGGCTAAGCGGGAGCTGGTGTTCAACTGTGGGAAGCAAAGTGCCTGGACCAAGGGACTGGACTTGGGGTGAACCCTTTCCTCATAGACCTGGGGTGGGGGGTTCTTTGGACTCTTCTACCTGCCCTTCCCCTCCCCATTCCATCTCCTAGAAGTGAACCTGGACACTCAGTGGCACCAGAGGCAAACACTCTCCTGGAGACAAGGGTTGGAGACCCTGTGGCAGGCGAGGTGTTGCACCCCTGGGTGTCTGCCCCAGAGTTTCCCGTGACAACTTTAAAAACTCCCTTCACAAAGATCACTCTGCTGGGGTAATTTATTGATCACAGCTGTTATCCCAGATACATCCTAAGACAGGCTGGCGGGTGGGGGGAGTCCCACCTCCTCAGCCCTGGGTTTGGAGCCTGTGCCGGATACCTTTAGTTGTCAACTTGATACACCTGGGCAGAGGGAGCCTCAACTGGGGAACTGCCTCCATTGGGCTGGCCTGTGGCCATGTCTGTGGGATAATTTCTTGATTGTTGAATGATGTAGGAGGGCCCAGTCCACCGTGGATGGTGCCACCCCTGGGCAGGTAGACCTATGTTATATAAGAAAGCAGGCTGAGCAGAGATCAGGGGAGCAAGTCAGTAAGCAGCGTTCCTCCATGGCCTGTGCTCCAGCTCCTGCCTCCAGGTTCCTGCCCTGAGCTCCTACC